GGAAGGAAGGGAGTGTTGAAGATATTCGTCTAATCCATAATCTTATCGCACGTACGTTATTCTCAATTCTCCAGTTTTCATTGTTTTTAAGGCTTCCTTCTAATTATACATTAATACTGCAATTCCTCTATTTTTAGCATTTTATTTACGTTATTTAACACACACACACACACCATATATATATATATATATATATATAAATGTGTAAGATAAAAAATGTGAAAGCAAACTTCTAAATTTAATTTTTAACCTCTTTTATAATTTTATATAATTTGGGGACTTCATCTCTCTATCTTAAAAATAGTGCTGTAGGTCTAAACTGTGTCACTGAAATTAATCATGCAGTCCTACGTAACGCATAATGCAGATACCTCTTGCCCAATCAAATAATTGTTAAACCAAAGCTTTTTAACTGGAACTGAAACTTTTGACTCCCGCTCTTCTTCCTCTGAATTGATGCGTCACTTTTCGTTTCAACTTCTGATCTGAGTGAATGCTTTGCTATGTTCGCTTCTATCGCCATAGTATCAAAACATAAAATGTTCTGGAAATAGGCACGATTGGAGTGCCAAGTGAATTTTGGCTACAAATGTGAATTTAAATAAAAAAGGAAATTAATCCGGCTCGACTTGTTCCTCTTTAATATAGATCAAGTATCTACGCTAAACGATATAGATCAAGTATCTACGCTAAAAAAGTGTATAAGGTACTGTGCGAAGAGTAATTGGAACGCCCTGACAAATCGTGTACAGAACTTATCAACAGTGTACAGAGCTCAACACTGACTAATCACAGGCTACTGCTTGCATGTCCATGCTAGTCCATGCTTAAGTGAACAGTGTAAAACAAATGTGTATCCGACTTTGCATTGTGTAACCATTCTGTAATCATTGTGTATACAACAAGCATCATGTATCTATTACAATACTAATATGCACTGTGTATTCTACAACATAGTGTTTCTCCTACAGTCATTGCCAGTACTGTATTACACAAACGCGTCACACAAACTATCTGCAATAAATATGCACCTCATTCTGCACTGAATTTGTCAAATTCTGCACAGTATCTGCTGTATATAAAGCATATAATTACTATGCAACTATCTACATTGCGTGTGCCTTACCTGCAATACCTTACAACCTGTTGTGTATCTGACTTTGCAATGTGCATTTGTTCTGTGAGCAATGTGTATATAAAAAGTACTGTGTACCTACTTTAATCCAATAAACACTGTGCATTTAATATAATATAAAATAAGCTCAGCGCATTCTATAACATAGTGTCTCCACTACAGTTATTGCCTGCACATCATATCTGTATTACTCAAACTATCTGTATTATATCTGCACTGTATCTGACATATGCATAATGTATAATTCATCTATATCTATCAATATTGTATCAGCATTACCTGTATAATCTCATAGCTTCGCATAGAAATATATAGCTTGGCAACATAGCATGCATGGTGCTGCGTACTATAATTGTGTGTATACAATAGTATAGTTTTTTTCAATCTGTAAGTATAATTGTTTTTATATAATTGTGCACAATTGTGTTATATACCGTAGAATAGTGTTTTATTCTGTGTTTTAATACGTTAGTATAATTGTGTTTGCATAATTGTACACCATAACTGTGTTGTATATAGTAGTATAGTGTCTTATTTCGTTTGTACAATTGTGCGCAGTATAAATTCTAATATCTAATGCTTTACAAGCATAGTGTATCTGTTTTTACATTGTGTATCAATTCTGTAAGCATTATGTATATAAAAAGCGCTGCATATCTATTCAAATTAAATAAGTATTGTGTACCTGATATAATGTATTGCATAATGTATTGTCCAGAGTAAAGTTTCATCTGTAATTACTATATCATCTAATAACAAAATTTAATATTCAACAGTGTGCCTGCATGCTTTATGTATGTTTATATGCGCATTTTACATGTGATATGTGATCTAAATGTGTCTTTACTAAGTGTATACTATATATTAGCTTAAATATGTTTCATTATATGTTTTACTTGTATAAGTGTGGGCAAACTATTATCTAATTTCTATTTTTATATAATGTGCTTACATGTTTTATATGTGTTATATATGTGCTTTTATATGTGTTTTACAAGTGTTTTGTATGTATCTTTATATGTGCAAGTGTATGTACTTGTATGTGTACGTATATGCTGTAATTAGTGTTTAACAGTGTCTAAAAAACTAAGATGTAACAAATCATCCGCCTATCGATCAAAACTAATGTATTCCTAAGACGCCTCTGTATGGCCATGTACAATTACGTAAAATTCTTCAATAAACTCCCGAGGTGGCCTCATGAGGCTTCTGGGAGTTGCTGCCACTAGATAGGGGAGGGCGCGGGACATATGCCTGTTTACCTCTGTTAAACATCAGGCGACCCCGTCCTCCGTCACCTGTCACCTATCTACGCTAAACAATTTATTACTATATTTAGTTCTCAGTGTTCTTACATCAGTGCTTCCAAAATTGTGCTTTATTATTTTACAATTTGTTACATGTTTTATTATATCTTTTTGAGTTGTTTGTTTTGTTCCAGTTTTTTTTATAGTTTTTTTATTGTTATGCTATTAATCATCAGTTCTGATTTAATTGTAATATCTTGATTAGTTCCTGAACTTCGAGCACACTGTGGGCTTTTAATAATTTATAATCTTAATTTTGAAATTTCTAAATTCCTTCTAAACTAATATATATATATACATATGCGTGTGTGTGTGCGTGTACCTATATATACACCCATAGGCATATGTATATATATATATATATATATCATGGAATAATGAAGATATAACAATTAAATCAAAACTGATGATTAATAGTGTAACAAGCAGAACATAAAAAAGTGGGGAAAAAAAAAAAAAAACTTAAAAGGATATAATAAAACATGTAACAAATAACTTAAAATTATGTGGCCTTTTTCAAGCAGCAACCGAAAATTTCTCAGCAGAGCCACGTTTATGAATTAATCTAGACGATTATTATTCATGAAATAGCCAAATAAAAAACAAATTAAATAATTTTAAAATAATGTAAGGCCATTAAAAGTTTCTCATAATTAATAAAGAATGCAATAAAATAAAGTATAAATTTTTATTAATCCAGAGGGGCAATTTACCGAGAAGGACTATTAATTTCATTTTGGCTTTTTGCGGTGAAATGTCGGTTCACTTTTCAAATTGTTGCCACCAAATATTAGAGCCCGATATTATATCTAAATAAATTAAATAAGGAAGAATCTGCATAAATGTATGTATGTTTCTCGCATTGTGATAAAGCAACGGTACCTAGAGCCATCAAATTATGAATAACGTATGTTTCTGCCCGAATATGGGCATCTGGAAACGCAAATTTGGAATTTGTTTTATTATCTATTTCATATTTTGTAAAACTTTAATGAATATTTGATAAACAAATTCATCGATTTAAAGGCGAGCATTAGCCACACTGTACGAAAAAAAACATTTTTAAAAATGTTCTTAAAATGATATATAGACAAGAAATAGCAGCGGCTGTTTCCTATGTATCAATGTTTAGGGCAATTCTTTAGTGAAGAAAATAAATTCCAAACTTCTTAGGGAAATTCAGATTTCTTTTAAGAATTGTTCGCGGCTATAGAACTACTAGCTACGAGGCACTTTTTACTGTCGCTGTTATTCCACCCGTAGGTATTGAAATTTCAAGAAATATTGTGATGAAGGACAGCATTTGCAGGCACTCCTCGTCAAATTTTCTTGATAGCAAACTTCCAGTTTCTTCTTTACCGCATTCTTTTAACAGGAACCTCATACCAGTTGTTGGCTATTCCTGAAGAGTACCAATTAATTTTCATTAGAGTCGGAAGTAAGATGAATGATAAGGTTGGTCTTGCTTTTTCTGTTTATGAAGATAAACAATAAAGAGACTTCAAACAGTACATAATTAATGATGAGGGCTAGTGAATTCGGGCTGAGTTGCTATGCTTAAACTTTGCTGTGAAATGATTTCAAAATTCTTGTAGTAAGTTGAGATCAATGCGCATTTTAATAAATAGTGATTTTCTTTCTTCGCTACAATTACTACAGAACATTAGTGCTTCATATATACTTGCAGTTGAAATTCAGGTTATTATTAATATATTGCAAGATCTTGAAATCGACATTAATTCTGCTTGTGCTCGTGGACACTGTGGAAATTTTTAAAATGAGAGGGCCTTTGCTCTTACAAAGCCACGAAACTTGTCACTAATTTAAATCTTCGCGTTCCTGTTTCTCACTTGAAGCGCATTTGTAAGAATGATTTTATCTGTATTTGGAACAGAGAATCTCTGGACTCACCAAAAGCACAAATTTTTTCCATAAATTTTCATAAAGTATGATCAATTTTCAATAACGTTTTGAGTTAACTAGATTTTTCACGGGACATTGCAATTGTAAGAGTTATTTAAAACGATTTGGACTTTCTTCAAGTGCTTTGTGCAGCTGTGGTAGCGGCGATGAAGATGTTAAGCATATTCCTCTCGAGTTCATTCATCATATCCAGCAGAAGATACTTCAGGCAAATCTGAAGCACCTGTCTATACTTTCGCCATCATTTGTTTCTGAACTTTTACGAACTAAAGAGCCAATTTGAGTTTTCGAATGTCGAATCATTTTCAAAATTAATTTGATTCGAGGATTCGGAAATTTTTACGTAGCTTCAGTCCTATAGGTAGGAGGTTTCTGTAAAATTAGTGTCTAACTTTGAATCGTCTCTGCAAAGTAAAAATTCTGTTTGGGGTTTTAAAATTTTACCAGTATGTTTTTTCACTGTAAGGTAACAATTTTCGTGTTTAAGTCATAGACATTTTTTATGCAGATATTGAAACGTATTTGCAATGTTAATATTTTAATCATTTCTGGTTATTTGTTTCTATTTTGTATTGCATAATTTCACATTTGATGCTGAAACTGTAAGTTTTAATGCATTCTTGTTTTTATTTCAGGTGGTGTCTAATACTTAACATATTTTCACTCCAAATGCGTTTATGGCTTCGTTCTTCTGGAAGTTTGCTGCTTATGTTGTAAGTAAATCATTTACATAGCTATAGAAAGGGAGCATGGAAATTTGAACTTTAAATTGTAGGGTTTTGATGTATATAGAACCTTATATCGATGCAAACCGTACTAGAGTGGAAGCGAGTTATCGCTTTAGTCTGTAACAAATGGCCAAATCTTAAGGAGGCTAAAATAATCTATATTTATTTAATTCTTAAATGAACAGAAAAACTGACATTGAAGGATAAAAATCCAATCGCATGCTTGACTTCTAAGAGCAAGCAGATTTCCATTACACATTCTTAAAGAGCACTCAAAACAAACCGCAAGTTTGTCTTAAATCTAACTACCATTTCAAAATTCGTTCTGACGTTTCTAAAATCATTGCACTAATCGATTGTAAGTAATTACTCAGATACGACCTAAGAACTAAAACTAGAAATTACAGATCTAGAGTACCGGACTTAAGAGGGCATCTAGTCCCTTATGAAAAGATGGAAAATTGACTCTGGAACTCCTGAAAGAGTGCTTTACTTAGGGTCACCAGTTGATATAATAGGGCTGTGTAATCAATAGTAATTTTCACTTTTCGTGTGCTTTTTTTCCCCTCAAAAGCGAAAATTATTTTCACAATTCTTTTAGTTAACAAAAATAGATATCAATACAGGACTTCTGCAACGGCAATGTGCATATTGTAAAGATATAAAGAATAATGTCTGTATTACCATTTACATTACATGATTTAAAATTTAAACTTAATTTGTTTTCTATGCTGTGTGCTGCCTTTGAAGGTGGACATCTTAAAGCAGAATGAATTTTAAAATACAAGATAAGGACAAATTTTTTAAACTATTAGTATTTTTGCAACAGAGTTATAATAAACTGGTAAAGTAAATGCTCAGTTCGAATAAAAATTCAAAATTTAAATTCTTTCTCGGTGAATTTTAAATTATGAACGAACAACCTTTTAGGCTTTTCTTATGGTTTAGACTAATAAGAATTTAAATAGTTTCCGGATATTTCTTTGGATATGTTTCCATATTTTTCCGTTCTGGAACAAATACCTTAAATGCTGACATTCGTCTTGAAAAAGAATAACTATGCATTTTTTGTTACTAATATGTAGAACGAAAAAACTATTAATTTAAGTTCAGGGACACTTTTGAAGAGTTGCGCAGCTGGTATGTTGAGTTTTGACGTTGGTAGAGATGCTGATCAAACATAATATTTGCTCTGACGCATTTGTTATAAGAGGGTTAAAGATTTAGCATTTCAGGATTCGACAGATTACCTTTACTTTTGTGAATATTGTAGTATCCAAATTCCTTCACTTATGAAATTACTCATTTGTGAATGCTGTAAATATCTAAATTCATACAATTATAAGTCTTCTGTAAGCAATATAAATTTCAAAATTATTTTACTTATATAGTTCTCATTATGAAATGTGTTGATAGAAGAAATTTTAGTGCTTTTTAAAAGACTGCAATTTTAAAAGACTGCAAATACATACAGTCTTTTTAAAAGACTGCAATTTTTATGCTTTGTTTTTCAGTAATATAAATAACAGTTGAACATAATGTGTAATTAATTCCAGTTTCTTTTTATTTGATCAGTATGTAGCTATGAATAATAATATGAATGCTATGAGTAATAATAATATTAATATGTAGTTATGAATACTCGTTGTTTCAAGGTTAAAAGTATTTTAATGGATTTTGAATAGATTAACGAGTGTTTTTAAGTGATTTCTTATCTTCAGCAAAATTCTGTTGAAATAGACTAAGATGTTATTATTATTGTTTTGTAATCTTGCTTTCAGAAAACAAGCCTGAAATCTAATTTTGCTATAAATCTGGAGTTTATAAAATAATTTACTTTTTATAAAATGTCATACGAATTTATAGTTCACTTTGTAGCTTCACCTAGTCATAATTAAAAACTGTCAATTAAATCTTGAGATATCTGTTTGTCAGAACTTTCGCTGGATTGGCGATAAGAAAAAATTATTTATCTTGTCTATGTAGTCAGTCACCTTCTAAAACAAAATGGCTCATTAATACACGCTGAAGTTTGAAAATCTAAGAAAATAACCTTCCTAACAGACCATTTGAACCACTTATCCAAGGACTGCTGATAGAATAATACAGTAAATTAATAAGGAACTTACTCTAAAACAAGACAAATGTTCTGATTAGAAGTGCGATTTAAGCTATTTTGAATTATGTATTGAACTCGAGAATGAAAGGATAATAGATTTCTTATGGGAAGAAGAGTCAAAAGTATTCCTAGTATGACCAAAAAAGTAATAATTAGATAGTAGGCAACTTTATTATAAATATGTCATGCCCTCCTACTTAAAATACCAATATAGCAGCTCAATCTTGTCAACCTGATCGGAACTATAATGTCAGTGTCCGGAAAAAAACGAATTGCATAATTGGAAGCAAGTGCGAAGAAAGAATTAGCAGTTTGGCGAATTGAGAGGACAAAGGCGTAGTATTCAGAATAACTTCATATGTATATATTTATATTCATAGTATTAATTATCAAATCAAATGCATTGAAAACTTAAACTAATACATTTTGAATTAAGATTTCGTCTTTAACACAGCTTACTTGCTTTCTGCATCCAGCTTAGATAAACTACCGCTTGCTGCTGCTGCAAAGCTGTCTAAAATATTCATAAAATATTTGAAATAGTCATAAGTAGGCTGCCAATTTGTTTATAGCCGCAAAATGATTACCGAAATAAAAATGAATATTTAATTTGCCTCGGCTGTCAAGTTTTCTCTTCATAATGAAACATTCTTTGCAATCAGTATTTCTACAGCAATCTTAAAGCTAAGTTTGCATCGTTAATCATTACACACACATTGATAGATAGATAGATAGATAGATAGATATGGATAGATAGATATCTATAAGAGGCTTTCTCACGAAGACAGTCTTCAACAAGAAGCTCATTCCGCGTGATGACATAAAAGAGGCGGGGCACATTTTCAGGGAAACTGTAAAAAATAAGTGAATATTTTCTTATCTTATTAGTGCATATCTTAGTAGTAAAAAATACTAAGGTTATCTTTTGGCTCTTTTACGAAAAGAATAATTTAAACATTTAATACAAAAAGGCGAAATTACTTCCATTAAAATTTACCGCAAAACTGCCAGCTGGAAAGTATGATGCAAATACAGAACTACATAATATGTCGATGAAATTTTTGTATTTAGAGGTAGAATTGGGCCTGTTATTTTATTCATAGTATCTGTTTCGCAATTATCTCGAGGTGTGAAGTAGGTGGAAGTGACATGCGAACTATGGTTCAGTGAAACCACGTGAAGCCATGTTCTGTGGGTGGAAAGATGTTTTTGCTATTTTGAGTAGGGAGAAAATTTGTAATAAATCTAAAAACTCTTAAAAGGCAGAACGAATTTTCGAAGGTTAAGTAAACGCTACCGTGAGTGTAAAATAGAGTAAAAATGTATAATAATTACAAGGTTATTTTAATTTTGTCCGCGATCGTCACAAAATTACGAGTGTATTTGAAAGTAGCAGCTTTTAGCATCTTTCAGAAAGTTTGTAATACGTATTAAAATTATAAATTTATTATTATGGTATCCGAAAATATGATAGATATCAGTCCAAAAGTCTACAGAATCGCTTTGTAAGTGTGCAGCGCCATAAGGGTGTTGGCAATTATATGCAAAGCGATCGGCCGAGAAAGAAACGTTCATAATAGTAAAGATGTCTGCACCCTTTGGAAGGTTAGTTTTTAATTTGTTATAAGTACGTGTCATGGATCTGCCAGCTCCAAATGCCTGGACAGTGGTACACAAGTAAGGTTTTAGCAGTACAGAAACAGCAAATGAAAACTGTCCTTACACAACATTGCTTCAGCATAAAGATCGTCGCACTTTAATGAAGATTGCTATTGCGAACCGAAATTTATCTGCATAAAGATACGGACGCCTGTATGATTTTATCTGTTGCAATAGTGATAGACGTGCATAAATGTTCTGGTAAATTAATGTGTCATGTCATGCAACGACAGGGTGTCATTGTATGTATCTTAAATTTAGTGTAGCGTGGAATTTAGCTCTGTATGTAGTAAGCCAAAAAAGAGTAAAAGTAATTTATCACGATGTTCTCTGAGTGCTTGAGAAATGAAAACTGCTGCTTTTCATCTTCACTAAAAGATGACAAGCTGAAAGATCATATATTTATAAACCATTGCTTTACTGCTTGACTAGTATTTCACTGCTACTGACGATGCTTGAGAAGCTGGAATGCATAACCCAGCTAGGCAGATCGAAATGAAAGAATTATTTGTGTAATCAATTGCTGAAAAGGATTTACTTTTTTGTAAAGATCAGCGTTAAAAGTCAATGCAGTGCAGGATAGAAGTAAGAGGACATGACAGCATGCTATCATTATATCAGGACTTGTCAATTCAAGAACTATGTCATACCACTCTGATGCTTTAGGGAAGTTAAATGTAAATGATATTCAGAAAATATCTGCTAAAATGTAAAGGCATATAGAAGAGACCGAAATAAACTGATTTTGTAATGGAATGTATATGCCTAAAAAATGCATTAAGGGGGTGCAGTTGACTGTTTAGTGGCAAATAAAAACGTTCTGCTGACGTGAGTTTTTTTTCTGGTGTGGAGTTTGAGTAATACGTAATATGCGTTGTTACTTGAAAGCAGAGTTCACCGACATGCATTTTATCTGTAGGGCTGCAGATGGGAACAGAGCTGGTGCTCAAAAAGGAGGTACAGGGAAATCGTTTATTGTACATCTTTTAGTAACGTTTCCTTTTAGACGCAACCCCATAGATAAAATACATGTCGGCAAGCTTCGCCCTGGTGTAGCGATGTATATCACTTAAAACCCTCAGGGGGAATGACAATTTACGCCAGCCGAATGCTTTTGTCTTCTGTTGAATGTACACCTGTACCACCTCAACAGGCCATTCTGGCAAACACATTCCATCACAAAAATCTGCTTGTTTTGGTCTCTATG